AGATGTTAGGGACAAAAAAATGAAGAAATGCATTAAAAGACTTCTTGGTATTAATGACAAGTATGTGCCATAAAAACCTGAGGAAACTGTCTGGAAGTGAAAAACAATTTTGGTTGGAAGGAATTCCTGGAGGTGATCTAATCCGAGCCCCAGCTCAAAGTAGACGTAATGTTAAAGTTATCTATGTGCAAATATTTCCACGTATTTTCTGCCCACAGTATATATAAATAACAAGTATTGTGTTTACAGTGAGCATATCCATATTTTATACACACACACGAAACAGCAGAAACCTGCAGCAGTGCAATCACTATCCAGCACTAGGATCTGTTCCCAAATGAATAATGACTTTGAGTAATGGCAAACGAGCCCATTTTTGACAAGACTCTCAGTCATATCCCTCAGAAGGTGATGGGACAGTGTAACCTTGGCCAGGTACCCCTGGGAAACCAGGCACTGGCACATCCTCCCATGCCAGAAACACTTCCTCAACCAGTCTGTGCAGGTAAAATAACTCAAGATGACAGCAAATTGCAGACACACTGCAAAGCAGGGATATCTAACTTCCCCTCCTTCCAGACTGAGTGAAGAACTCCCTCACCTACTGTGCATCCTCACTAACAGGTTCTGTGGTAAATTGGGATGGTGTTTCCTTGGGCAGCTCTCCCTTGTGGAACGCCCCGGAGCACCATGACCCCACAGATCCCGCCAAAGGCACGGGGACCTCCAAGATCTGGAGGTTTTGCTGCTTCCCAAACTTCACATTCACAGCATTGCCTCTGGAAGGGCACATGTATGAGCAGGAGCCCTAATGAAATGCCAGGCTGTCTGCTCCACACTGGGGAAATGTCAAGTCCAGCAAATCTTGTGTCCTTCCCGTGCTTTTCCTGATGCTCTCAGTTTCTGAGAATGTTCCTGAGACACTTCTGAGTGTCAAGAGTTTGGTTCTGTTTTGCAGAAATAACGTTTAGAGGAGTCATAAAGATATTCTGACGGCTGCAGTTTTCAAGCTAAACAATGTCGACATCTCAGAGACTTTTAGGATTTTTCCTCCAAAACTAGACTAAGTTTTCACCATCTGATCTCACAGACACTGATCCTTTTCTTTGCCAAGGGCCCTTCTTGTCTCTAATGCTGTTCCCTGCGGTGGGAACAGAATGAAAGGCACATGAAACGATACTGGTTAAGAGAATACTAGAAAAAGGAGAAGGACCTGTGCATCAATTCCCATAAGGAATCCTTTTTTGGTTTTACTGAAGTTTCAGGGATCACTTGCACACACACAAGCCCACAGCTGCATGTACATCTGTCTCTCTACAAACAGCCCCAATATTGACCCCCAGTGTGAGATGTGAGATTGTGTTGGCTCGATCCATGTGGCAGCTGCCCTCCTCACCCCAAACACTACTGCCCATGCAAGGAAGGGCTCATGCTTTAGCAGCTCTATTGATCCACTCAGACCTTTGGGGTGGGAGGAAAGCCTCTTTAATTACCTGGGCTGACTTTCAGGTTCTGTTTTGCCCTAACAATGTCTTCAGAAATCCAGTACTGTGCTTTAGCATTGTTATCACTTAACTTAGATTTGGAGTTTTGCTCCCCAGAGAGGCACCTTCTTCCTCAGCCCGGCCAGCCCATGCCTGGCATCAAAATCAGGCAAAGTCATTTATTTGCCTTCTCTAAGGATTTGAAAACCTCTACACTTCCCTCAGCCAGAGGTGTTTTGACCTTTAATTAAAAGGAAAATTTGTTGTCTTCCACTCAGAAGGCAGCAAATAATGAACTCATTAAAATGAGGTTACTGTTCAGGCCTTAGAGCAGTAAGAGACGAAGTCTCATTAGCAGCTAACAATCCAGAACACAGCACATAAATATACCTAATATGGCAGAGCAAAATGCCTTGGTGCATTAAATTTGAACAGAATCAAATGTTTACAGTCAATGATGTCTGGGGCATGAAGTTTTAATGTACTTAATGAAGGAAAGCAAATTGCTTCCTATTAGGCATGAAATGTTCCTGCAGAAATTGCCCCAAAAAGTTTATTATGTGAATGAAGGATAGAGTTATAATTAACAAGGACATAGCAAGGAAATATCAGATTCTTCCTAATAGATGCACCGATTATGAAGAATAAAGACATGCAACTTCAAATCTACAAAAGGTAATTATATGGATTAATGTAAAAAGCTACTGAATGCAATATAATGAAGAAACTGTATCTTATGAGTGTCAGAGAGAAGCTTCACTGACAAAGCAAAGAATCAATTAATAAAGTTAAATCCATGAGTTTTGAGAGATTCCAGTCAATTAAGGGCTTTTATTTGAAAGAAAAGCTTCAATTACCTTAAAAAAAAGCCCCTGTCTTTGCTTAGTCAGGCACAGAGACATGCCCCTTTGCCTGTGCAGTGTGCTCCGTGGTTCTTTCTTTGGCAAAGATAATTATTAAGCATGATCTATTCAACTGTCCAAAAATAACCACCTGTGGGTTTACCAGGGAATGCTGCTTGTACTTCCACAGGCATGCAATGGATGGGGATGGGATGGGGGAAGGGGGGATGCCTGTGAAGCCAGGGACAGCAGGCAGAGTGGGAATAGCTGTGTGGCACCTGGCCTTGGAAAGAGAACAGCTTTCCAGCTGTTAAAATTCAATTGCTCTTCTCCATGCTGCAGAACCTTCAGAATCAAATAAAATAAACACCTTCTGCCTCCCATGGAGCCTGTGCAAATCCCAGGAAGGTTTCTGGCCCTGGGTGCCAGGGATATGCAGCCTCTCCACTCTTTCATTAAAGATAGGGAAGGCAGACCCTAATCACCAAAGAAGTTTTTCCATATTAAGGGTGGGAAAGACATTTAGTGCCCTGCCTCCAAACAGACAAGCAGTGACACAATCAGTTTGGACTGTCTTAGCTGACAATATCTTCTTAGCATTAAAGAGGGGAGGTCATGACAACAAAATACAGCTCCATATTATATAAATTAATATGCATATAAGAAAATTGAAATGGCAAAAAAAAAGTCTTTAGGACCAAGCCAAATCCAGTTTGAGTGACAGATTTGCCCTTTAGACAGAGGAAAAGGCTTGACACACTGCAGGTTCCAGGATTTACATCTTAATCCTCGCTCTGTGTTTTTAATGAGGCCTCACTGGGCTGGAAGGCTCCTGCCTATCCTGCAGCTCTGTCATCTTACTGAGATGTGAGACGAGCAGGAGAGGAGCCCAGGTGATGAAATGATGTTTGTTCCGTGCCCCTTCTCATACTATATGTTAAGTGATGATAATTTCTCAAGATGTTCTTCCCTCAAAGGAAAATTAAATTGATTTTGCTCAGCCCATCGGTCTTTCTCAACATATCTAAACTGCTCTAGATAGCTTGGAAAATTATATTCTAAAATATAACGACTCATATTCTATGCTTCTGACTTTAATGGTGTCAATTTAGTGGCAGTTTTTACCAGCTGGGGATTTTCCTCAATGTCTCAGCCAACAGTGGTGCTCATCTGAGATTTTTACATTTTAGTGAACATTTACTTGTTATATATTACGTAAATATAGTCCCACATGTGAAATTGTCACAGGATTGAAATAATCAACTTACTAAATGTCTGGCAAGATAGGCTGGAAACCATATAACTACCTTAATATTTAATGCTAAAGCACAAGATTTACTGTCATAAGATTACTTTATTTCCTTCAGCAAGGAGAGGAATTTGCTTGGTGACTGTTGCAGCTGATAAACACTATCTCAATTTTACATCTTCCTTGCCACCCTAAATACATTTCTATTTAAAAAAAAATCCAGGCAGATGCACACTGCCTGGAAGTCTCTTGTATTACACTCGCATACCTCAGCTGCTTAATTCCTGGTTTCATTGTTTATCCTGCACTGGAGATACTTCTGATTTCTAGCCATGTAAGGGTACTGGTCCGTGCTTAAATTAGACCGAAAAACTATTTTCCTGCAAAGTTCAGGGAAATTATGACTGTAGGGAATGTAATTTTTTCAAATGAAGGACAACATTAGCTGGGCTAGGGGTGTGTGTAAACCACTGCAATCATTTTATCTTTGAACTCTGCAAGAACATGAAGGTCCAATCAATAGAAATGTTATTAATAGATAATAGGAAAAGTTCTCAAGGGCCACATAATGGAGACACAGAAAATTGATGAAAAACAGAGTTTATAACCTATTCAGCATTGGCAAGGCCAATAGGGAGAGAAATGCACTCCCCATCTCACATGCAGCACACCCAGATTCCAGAGGCTGAGGATCCAGAGCAGATCTGTGCAAAAGGACCAGCTCCAGGAGCAGTGCAGAGCTAACAACCAGCAGTAAACATCAATTAAAGCTCACACAGGCTTATCCATCTTCTCTCTTTCCCTAGTAGCTTTGAAAATATGTCCAAAACAAAAACTGGACACGTGGCCAAGACTACCAATTTCTTCTATAAGCAACATCCTTTCCTTCCATTTCATTTACAGTGGGCTTATTTTAGCTTGGAGGAGAGAATAAAAATAAGCATTAATTAAATTAAAAATTAATTTATGACACAGACACAGCTTCTACCAGAGGTCAAACCTGTAGCTTTGCTCATTCACATGCTTTAGCCTGAATTTGCTATTTAGACACGGCCCATAATGGTCCTGCAGGTAAGTAAATCCCAATGCCTTCATGCCTAGATGACAAGTAGTATTCCTAATTTTATTTTGGGGTTTTAGCACATTTTGTCAAGCTTCACTAATAACCCAGAGCATGGGTGACCCAGTGTACTTCTGCCTCTGAGTGGCTGGACTCAAGTCCTGCCGTAGATCACTGCCCCAGTGGATAATATCCTGAGCCAAGCCACAGAACCATCACCTCCTTGGATTGTCAGGCACTCTACCTTTTCCAGCAATCAAACTCTCATGGAACAAATTAAGCTCTCTGTAATAGTCCTATAAAAAAAGATGAGCCTAAAATAATATTAATTTTCTAAATCCATGTTAATTTCTTATTTATTTCAGGCTTTACTAGAGACTCAAAATTTACTGCGCACTCAGGTTGCAAATTTTACCTTCAACCTTGGATTTTCAGGAAAATTTTACCACACAGGTAAGAAGGAACTTCATGCAGTTAAATAGGTGGCACAATTTTCAATCTAGCTTTAAACATTCCCTTTCTAAATAATCACTGACTCACTGGGAAATATATGTTCCATCATTTCAGTGTCCAAAGGGGTAAAGACACACTATGGATGAACTGCTCAGGTACACAAGGATGTTTTCCTGAAAGATGTGTGATGGTAAATCTTAGTGTTATAAAGGAAGCAAAGTAGTTGCAGAGATCTCACTAATTCCTCAGGAGACAGGCCAGCACAGAAGACAGAGTAATGTTTTTCAGGTGTGATAGGTATGATGATTTATAAAATATTGGAAAAATCATGTCTCAGAACCTCTGAGGAGGCAGAAGTGTTTCAATGGGATACATCAGATTTTGTTATGCCTGTGAAGGAAATCTGTCTCGGTGATCTGAAAACCAGGAGGGATAATAAAGGAAAATATGATGAAAAGAAATTTGTATTGAAACCTGCGCTTCTGTGGAAGAGGAGGCACTTCCACACCTCCTCATCCTCGCTACTCCTTTCTCCTTTTTGCTCCATTTCGTCACAGCACAATACCCACTTTCTAAAAATGTTAATTTTTTTCCTCCTCTTTTGCCTTCCCCTTTGCTGCACCTCCACTCTGGCTTCCCTCTGGTGCCACTGAGCCGTGCTGCTCCCTATTACTGCTGAGGCAAGAAGAGATTCCCTGCAAGGGAGAACCTCCTGTCCTTTCCCAGCACCATAACCCTTCCCACCTCTGGAGACCAGCTCCAAAAGCCTCAGCTGTCAGCCCACTCAGCCACACTCACAGAGTGATGCCAGGGAAACTTATCTGGAGCCTGGGAGAAGGCAGCAAGAGGATGGGAGGGTGAGTTTAAAACCTAGGAATGAGCCAGTCCCTGCTTTCCTAGACTGTGAGGCAGCTGGATGAGCAGAGAGAAGGCAAAATGACGTGTTTGTATCACTGTCACTAAGTCCAGGCTGCTCTCCACTTGTGCAAGCACTTAATGCTAAGCAACTGCTGCCCAGGAAACCTCATGGACTAAAGATACAGGCTGGAGAGCCTGGGAAAAACGAGAGGCAGGCAGAGAGATGAGCTGGACACACGTGCAAGGCAGCAAAAAACAAGCAGCAGCAGCCTGAGGCTCTGAGCTGCTCCAAAGCAGGAAGGTGGGATCCATCATTTGTGCCCACTGTGGAGAAAGGTGATCCTTGGAGGGGAGGAGATGGAGGAAGAGATGGTTTTACTGATAATATTATGACACAGTGGGCAGTGGCTGGCAGAGAATATGTAGCCTTTGAAAGCCCCACTCCCTGGCCTACCACTATTTTTCCTTCTTTCCTTCATCCCAACACCTTCCATGCTGTCACAGGTTTTCTGATACAATGCTGACCAAATTGCAGGGTTGCTACGGCTGTAGAGAGAGAAAGGAGGAGGATATGCACGTGTGCCCATCCTCCTAAAGCTCCCCAAAACAGCACAGAACTGCTTCCCAAGCTGAAGCATGGCCTTGGCTCCATGAAGAGGCCTGGAGGCAGCTGGGTTTTGAACTTCTTACAGGGTGGGGATGGCCCTTTGTCATCTCAGCTTACTGGAAAGCTTGCAGCATATTCTCCATGCAATATACTCTTTATTGACTCATTATAAATAAAGCCTGTAATTACTCTACACATGGCTTGCTGACCCACAGAGGCTTTTACTAGCAGGCACTCAACTTCCCTAGTGTGGCATTGTGCTGTCCTTTCCAAAACTTGGATCATTTTAAAACTATGGGAGGGAGATGAGTGTGCGGACGTGTTGGCAGAATAAACTGTTACACATTTTCATGGAAAGATGCTGCCGAAAACTCAGATATTGCAATACATCAGGCCACATCAGCTGGTAATCTCTGCACTGCATTAACACCATTAACAAAAAGAATGAGCAGACCTTGTTAGTTCTGCAGCTTTAACAAACACTTTCCACTTGTTCATGCTGCAGCAGCTGAAATTAACACTCTCTCAGGATTTGCACTGTAGATGTACAAGATTATTGGTAGCAGCTTTCACCTGTGTAACTATGATTATAGTTTTTAAATATGGGGTTAAATATTATGCACCAACAAACTTGGAATTATTACCTGTGTAAAGTGCACTCAAAGCAAACACATGCTCACCCTGTTCATAGGTTTCATGCATTTTTCAGATTTCACATTTAAATGAAGTTACAGGAAGGATTTTAATTGTACAAGAAATTAAAACCTCAAGATCCCTTGTTTAGCCTCCAATACTCTGAATAAGGGGTTGGCTTGAAATATTTAAACAATATAAGCATCCATCAAATTCTCCATTCAAACTTTGCATGAGGTTTTTTTGGAAATAACACTACTTAAGAATTTGTAAAATCAAACAACATTCTTTTCTAAGGTTTGTGAGAAAAATTAACCTCATAAGCAATGCCACTACCCAAGATTAAACTTCCAACCTTTCTGCCTCACCTCTAGCATTACAGGATAGGGTTATTCTTCTTTAAAATGGAAAACATTACGCTCCATCTTGTTTGTTTTTTGTTAAAGTAAAAGAAGTGCAAAGTTTTATTAGGTGTATATCTAAATTTACAAAGAAATTAATGGGCAAAAAGAGGATTAATTTCAAGAACCACACTCTACTTGAAAAGTTATTAAGGTACTAAATTATACTTTGACCTAAATCTACAATCTCTGATTGTAGTTCTTAATGTATTTCAAAGACCCACTTGTTTCCTCCTCATCCCTAACTCTGGCTTATCAAAGATATCCTCAGTTGCCTCACAAACTCCATTTTCTCCCTGCTCTGTCCCATTTTGAAAGCCTGTGTTAAGTTTCTTCCCTTGCCCATTCCTGAGTGACTGCAAGTGAAGCACATACCCAAAAGCAGACGGCAGTCACTCCCAAAATGCAGGGCAGAGGGAGCAGCCATCAGGCCTTTCTTTTCAATATGGAATTCTCTAGAAAACATGGTTGTTTTCCTTTGCCAGCAGCACTCCCATCAGCAGGAGAGCAGCTGCCTTAGAACTTGCAGAGTGCTGCAAAGAGGGGAGAAAAGGGTCTCAGTGGCTCTGGAAGAAAGTTTCAAAGTACTGCTCTCCTTGTGTAGTGGCATTCTTCAAAAACCACCGCAGAAATGGAAAATAAAAGCCAAGAGCTGAAGTGCAGGCACTGAACAGGCATCTCTGAATGTTCCTGCCAAGTAAACAGTGACATCCGTGGAGCATTTGCTTCCAATGAGTTTTGCAAAACATTAAAGGGCCTGTAAGATGACAGGATTTCTATGTTTGCATCGGGAGACTGATTTTGGCAATTATTTCTTAGACTGAAGCAACATAAAAGCATTCAAATGGCAAAGAACATGAAGGAAATGTGCTGTAAACCAAATATTGTTGGGTAGCTTGAAGGTGAAACTACTGGAATGTGACTTTGCCCTTCCAGGCTGGAAAGGCAGGCCAGGCGTGTCTGTAGATGGCAGGAACAGCATTGTGTCCTTTCTCAAATGGAAAATTTTCTTTGTTACAGCCACATGTCCTCACTTCTGCCTGAAGCAGATACCCTTCACTAACACAGAAGGTTTTATTTGGTTTACTTCAAGATTAAATCTGGCCAAAATTGAATACTGAACTCTAATGAATATTTGGAAGCCTTTTGCCATTACAGCTTCGTGCTTTCCACCTAATTGTATTCTAAAACTTGTTTCACACTTTACCAGAAATTATCAGATTTCAATTCACCATGGCTAATAAAGTGGTAGTTACAAGGAAAATAGAGGAGAAGCATTGGTAAGATTTCATTTTTATCCATATGTTGCCTTTATAGAGAGTATTTTTTACTTAACAGTGACATTATTATCAGGACAAAATGGAGAATAACTGATACCTTTTCTTTAATACTGAGCATACTCATTTGTCCAGCTTTCAAAAGACCTGGACAACAGCATTAATATTTCTGGCACTGTTTTGTCACATTAAAACCAAGCTGCCAGGTTATGGGGATGAAAAGATAGTGTGGCATTAAAATAAAGAGAGAAAATGAAGAGGGGGGTGGCTTTTAAGATAATATATGTCTAGAAAAAGTCCTACTCTTTATATTCAATATTCCCATAGTTCATAAATGTAACAGGAACACAGTGAGACAAGCCAAGGACACCAGAGTTTTTGGCAGACTCTTCTCTGCTTAAAAAGAAACTGTGGGCCTTTCTTGCTTTCTAGTATCTTTGTTGCCCCTTTCTTCCCTCTGCAGGCACTGAGGAGGAGGATGAGGGTGATGACCTGCTGCTGAGATCTGTGGATGAGTTCTGGTGGTTTCCCCACATGTGGAGTCACATGCAGCCACACCTCTTCCACAATGAGTCCTCGCTGGTGGAGCAGATGATCCTCAACAAAGAGTTTGCAATGGTGAGTAAGAGTTCCTGAGAGATTTACTGGGATGCCTTCACTACCATGGCCATGCCTACCCCACTGGTTTCATGCTTGTCTTATACAATACCTATATATTTACTCAGGCATGCAAACAGAGGCAGTGAGATTAGAAACTCATCCCAAACCCAGCCTGTTTGTGACTCAAACTGAATTCTGCCTTGGCCTTGCCCATTGACACAGGCTCTCTGCAGAGGGAGCAGCCCTGCCTCAAGTATCCTGGCAGGACCATAGGGATGAGAATCAGTGGAAACACAGCAGATAGCAGCTGGCCTTCTAAGCTTTAGGCAGCTGTTTGTACACAGGTTATCAGCTTAGTAAATTCTGCTGCAAACATCCTCAGTAAGGCAGGGCAGAAGCTGCAGTGAACCCTAAACCCTGGTGTATGGTTTGGGAGAAATCTTGATGCTGACAGAGCCAACAAGTGAAGCTGCTGGATTTCACTGCGCCTTTTTAAATGACCTGCTTGAAAAATGCTTTTTATATAGCTAACCTCCTGCCAATTTTGACAGATAATGGTGCTTCCCTTTTCCTCATTTGTGCTCTGAACTTCCACGAGCCACCTTCACCCTTTGCCCAGACCTCACAGTGCTTGTAGTATTTACAGCCTTTTCAGGATAATTCTGCTGGCTTATTGCACACAACAAAGAGAACCTGAAATCTATAAATGCTGGCTTTGGGAAAGACACTGTGTGGTCTTTGGTGAGGCACAGAAATACCAAGCAACCACAGCTGCTCACAGGAGCCGAGGGACACAGTGGGGCTTTCGCAGTTGCTTTGGGAACAGCAATTTCCCAGCCCTTCCCAGCTCCAAAATGCCAAGCCCCTTCCTCCCATCCCTCACATAAGCCAAAGCACATCAGGAAAAAGGCAGAGGCAAATGCCTGAACAAGTAGTTGGAAGCAATTTATTCCCTCGTTTATGGAAATATTTCCCTACCAACCTTTAAAGAAAATTAATTTAAAATGGCTTAACTGTTTGCTCATTATGCCAGACTTCCCCCTCTTCCCATCGACTGCTTGGCAGGATGATTTCTTTTCCTTTCTACAGTTCTGTTTCCCTGTTAGCCTCATTCCTGGCACAGTCTGCTCATGCCTTTTGTGTAGCCTGGCCCAGAGACCCAAACAGAGCTGAGATTTTAAATGCAAGAGTAATTTTTTTCAACAATCCATATCTCAAAAATACACAGTCCCTCAATCTTTAAACCTATGGGGAAATTCTCCTAGTATTTTCAGGAAGCATGAAGTCACCCAGGTCGAGCCACCTTTGGGAGTAAAATCTATAGCATAGCCTGAAAACAGAGCTGCTAATGGAATCTGCTTGTAACTTCAACTCCAGAAAGATAAAGCCTGCGTCCTGAAGGGTAGAGACTCCTTAGGGTGCCTATAAATAAGGAGCTGATGTCAGTGAAAAGCTGCTGTTATTACACTTTTATTTCCTGCTAACATTTCAACAGGGGTTGTATCAACCCCTTGACCTTGAATCTATATGACCTGTACGATTTACTTATGAGAACATTTCTTTTCCAAAGGCTTCCTCTGAAATTCTCTCTTGTGGGAGAAATCCATCTTCCCGCTATGACAGCCTCCCTGATAGCTATCAAAGAGGTCCCAGCCTTGACTTCAGAGCGGGTTTCATTCCTCCCCTGCCTTTCTCATCCTCACCATCATGTCTTATTCGACAAACAAGCTCCCTGTTCTGCAGCTGCACTTCTCTAAGCCCTCCAAGTTAAAGCTAACCTCTTTCCATTACTCTTTGATGTCACAAGGTAGATCCAAATTTAAATTAGAATAGATAGAAAATTTGCTTGATGTTACACATGTTTTGTTTGTTGTCCTCTATCTCTATTTAATATTACACTCAGGAGAACAGCTTGATGCTGGTGCCATTTTCTCTTGCATTTCTCATTTATTGACCATATCTCCCTACCTCCTGCTTTGGCTCCACATAGAGGTGACACTTTGTGTCAGCTTCTGCAAGGAAAGCTGCAGTAATTATTTGGAAGTGTGATCACATTAATTCTTCACCTAATGTGCTCTTTCTTTGTTCACTTTTTTTAAACATGGCTAAGGAGGCAACAGGGTTTCCAGGAAAGGAAAACACATCATTATATCCAAGAACAATACTCAAGGTTGCTGCAGATCCTAAATAACACACAAAAGTTCTGTTTATTAAGACCTTTTGGCTCCTCTGGCTGGGAGATAAAAGCCTTGGCTCTGTTTCACAGGGCTTTATCCACACCTCCTAACAAGACTCTACAAAATGGGAGCTTACAATTGCAGCCTGCCTCAAACAGCTCTGTCACAGCACACAGATAGAAATCAGGTATCTAAACAGTTCTGTGCACACAGAACTAATTGCTAATTAGGTGTCTAATTGCCTTGATTTCAGTGCAGATATGGACACCTCTGTGCATCTCCCTTCAAGGATTCCCTTCCACCTACACTGCTTGTGAACCAGGAGACTGCCTTCACCCAGAGCCCTCCAAATTGTTCCATCCATCCCTGAGATATTTATCATTTCCACTGCCTAAATGGTGAGAGGAAGAAGCTTCCTCACATCCTGCAATAAATGTCATTGTCCCATTGCTCTGGATCTGGCAGGCAAGCAGGATAAGTTTTATCTGGTCAAATCCTTATCCATGTGTACCTAAGTGATGGGCCCCACAGCTGCACCATCCATAGCCCCATTCCCAAAGTCCTCACTGCCAGATCTCTCATCAAGCACAAGATCCTCAGCCCCAGAGGAACAAGAGACAGAGATTTTACCTGTGGTAAACTAAGTCACAGGCTACCCAAAGCTCTGCTATCCCTATGTCATCCTATTTATGGAAATATGGATGGTGTGTTCCAGAGCCTGCCTAAGGAAATGGGAAATCAGAATTATTTTTATTATCAGTTGGGCTTGAGTTGATTGTGTTTTGTGGTTTGGGTTTTTTCTCTATCAGAGAATCCCAAAACCCTTCAAAGACACTAATGAACAAAATCTCAGATAATATTTTGCTAACTGATAATTCCTCAAGTATTATTCTCCTTGTTTATAGGCAGCGCAATGGTACACAGAGAGGCAAAAAAATTGTTCAAGGGGAAGTCTCTGATAGCATATATTCAAAAAATAAAGCAAACCAAGCTTTCCCTGCCATCAATAACAAGATATTCCTTCTCCCACTTTGTACATCCTTATCTGACAAAAACAAGTAGAATGTATCTAATCTGAAGCCTGTAGCTCTTTATTCCATCCCTTGGACTGTTTGCTCGGTGATTATCTTCCTTGCTCATTTGCAAGTACAGAGCCCAGAGCACGGCAGAGACGGGGCAAAAACTGTCACTGGCTGCACAAGGCAGCTGTGAGCTGACAGGAAGAAGAAACAAAGATGTAAAACTAAACAAATCAATTGAGAACCTGTCTAGCAGCACTCCTTGGCTCCCACCTCCTGCTTACAACCAACTGCAGATGCACATTAGCGCTTCCTCCGCCTGCGCCTCTTGAGCTGCTCAAACCACAAGTACACCAGGAGCTTTTAATACTCCAATTAAATCCCAACAATGTGAGGGCCCAGCGACCACACAGCCAAGGCAAAGCACCTACATGTGATGAAAAGAGCCTAATTTGTCCCATTATTAATATCTGTGCTTAATGTGGGGAAGGAGAGATGCCCACTGGAGATTGCCACTAAAAATGGGCTGTGAATATAGGATAACATCATCCTGTGCAGCAGGATGAGATTTATTCTGCCTCACCTTATTTTTTTCTGAAATACTCATTTGCTGCATCACCTGCTATCAGACAGAGCCAAAAGGTTGGGCAAACTTAGCTGAGGTTGTATTTAGCTTTTTCATCTAATAAAAGCCTTCACACCTGCACCTTGACTGACAGCATGAAAAGACCTACAGCAGACATAAAATTTATTAAATTAAAATTTGTGTTCTTATTTTCTCTGACAATGGCAAATCATACCTACATTCCAAACTAAACCAACAAGCACAAATTTTGAAATGAAAAAACCCAATGTACGTTGTGAATGTAAAAATCAGGAAATTGTACCTTGGAATACACAAGATAAAATGCTCAGTACAGGTATTTCTCATATCTTGACACTCTGGTATACTCCTTTAACACATGAGTTTTCACTCCCAAAGTAAGTTTAATAACAAAAGGAGAGGAAAAGGAGAAAAGTGCAACAGAAAAATCACTAAAAGGGGACACACAGCATTTATTCTTCCCAGGTACACTGCAAATAGAACTGCCCAAAGAAAAGAATTATTTGATAGTTGTTTCTTCTTAACTCCATATTGGCTATCTGGGTACCTGATGTATTTCTGTGATGAACTATGTAGTGAGCAGGTTTTATTCAGAGGCTAACTTGTTTTTTATGTTGAGAACTCCTGAAAAACTGCTTGATTTTATTTGTGAATGACACATCACCATTTCAGCATTCTGTTGCTACGACAATTCCAGCATCAAAGAGTAAGGAGATAAACAGGATCTTACACATGTTCATCCAGATCCCTGCTTTGGGATATGTCATCCAGAGCAGTGTTCATTGTCAACCCCAGGACACATTTGCCTTACATCTGTGTTTCTGTGTACTCCCTACCCCACATTTGAAGGTTTGCACATAAAAGCTGAGACGGGATACAGCTGTTTGACAGTCTGAGCATCACAGACCTCTCAGGCATGGCAATAAATGGCTAGCTTTAAAGAAATCTTTTGATACAGCTTTTTCCTTTTTACATGTCCATGGCAAAAAAAAAAAAAAAAGGAGAACAGGGTGATTTACCATCTGTCATTATAGAGCTATGCCCCATTCCACCCTTAAACTGACTCATGCCTCTCAAGTAGGTAACAGCACTAATAAACTGAAATTACATTTTGTTCTCAGTAAATTACCAAATAGAGAGTTTTGGGTTTCTCTTTTACAGGATCAATCAGTAACTTGAGGTCTTTTTAGAAGGAGTGGATCATTTAAAATGGTTGCATTGTGTGATGTAGGAATGAGTGTTCCCTACAGATTTAACTTAATTTTTGCCAATGAATCAAAACCCTTTCTTCGTTAAGTACTTGAGGATGCCCAGCAGAACCTGCTGTTCCTGGAATTAAAGTAATCAATGGATAATATGAGCAAGAGGAAGGACAAAAAACCCCATAAAATAATCATCTCATATTTTAGCCATTTCCCTCTGCACATCAGTTTTAAAGGAGTAGAAAAGAGCTGACATGTCCGGTAGTACTGAGAACAAGATGAATTTGTGTCTTTGGAAGAGATTTGCAAGATAACCTATAGATTATATGATGAAGATGCACATATTTCCATATGGAAATGGAGCTAAATATTTATAAAATGTTAAAGTAGTCCAAGCTATTTTTTGCTACCACCTTACTACCATGGAGAAAAATAAGGAGGTTCAGAAGATATGCCGGATATTTATTTATTAAACTCCTATGCCAGAACTAGGAAACAAAATCCCATGCATGTCACCGCAACATTTTTTTCCCATCTGTTTACTAGCTTAGTAAATAAGTTAGTAAAGCTTTAAAGGCGGTCTAGTGAACCACCTTATTTACTAGCTGAGTAAATAAGATGGCTCACTAGACCTCCTTTAAAAAGAACCAGACAGGTAGGAGGCATATCAAAATATATGCAATATGTAACGGAATGGGAGGCAAATCTGTTCCACGCAACATAATCCAGGAGGATTCCTCCTCACTGTAATTCCACTTCCCTCCACCTGCCCTCATTTCCAGCTCGTGCCACAGTAGGTACAGCTCTGGGGACAGCAGTGTCCCCACCACCACTGTGTGCAGCTTTGAGTGATGCCATGGGGGGTTTTTTCTGTGTGTCCCTAACTGTGTCCATCCCTGTGGCGCCTGCAGGAGCACGGCATCCCCACGGGCATGGGCTACGCGGTGGCCCCGCACCACTCCGGGGTGTACCCGGTGCACGTGCAGCTCTACGAGGCCTGGAAGAAGGTGTGGCACATCCGTGTCACCAGCACCGAAGAGTACCCGCACCTGAAACCCGCACGGTACAGACGGGGCTTCATCCACAATGGCATCATGGTACACTGCATTTCCATGTTCATAGCAATACTGCTGCAGGGACCCCACAGGGCGCTGCTTTGACTGGAGGCCTCAGCTTTGCCAGCATCCTTAAAATTCCCTGGCATCCAGCAGCTTCCAGCTTGCCCAAAAAGTGCATTTGTCAGGCGGTTTCTGCAAGGCTGAAGTTTCAGTTATGTACCTGAAATTCCCAGAGGCAGGAGTGGGACACCTGCCTGTCTCTTACACCCTGTGCATGTGTGCCAGGGGAGAGAAGGCTCCTCCCATGCACTTAAAAGTGCACGAGGACAGGAAAACTCAGCAAGCCCCTTTGGCCTGTCCTACCAGCCAGCTGCAAACCTCTAGGTTGGGTGTGCTAAAGTGAACAGACAAATATTCCATGGGATGGTTTAAAGTCTCAAAAGCTAATCTGAATATTGCTTGTTCATGCCAAGTCCAAATTGTGATCCCCTAAACAAGGCATTGTCTCGAAACCAAATTCAAAAGTCAATCTGAATAATGCTTGTTCATGCCAAGTCCAAATTGTGATCCCCTAAACAAGGCAGTGTCTCAAAACCAAATTCCTGCAGAGTCTAATGACTGCTGGAACAGACTCAAAATCAGCAGTGTTTTTACACATGTACTCAAATGCTCTACTAAATGCAGGTTTTGGTTGTTGTTTTAGCTGAGTAAAAAAAAAATATAAAATATTGAATTGAATCAATGGAAACAAAAGTCCTTCCCCAGGTCGATTATGGCACTGCAATACCTGTAAGCTGCTGTTCCTCTGTTCCCAGGTGCTCCCTCGACAGACCTGTGGCCTTTTCACTCACACTATTTTTTACAAGGAATATCCTGGTGGTCCTCAGGAGCTGGACAAAAGTATCCGAGGAGGTGAACTGTTCCTCACCATTCTCCTGAACCCCGTAGGTACCTTCTTTTGCTGCTTTTTGGATGTGCTGACTAACAGGGGGGAGGGAGGGAGGGAAGGAGATCAGGTTGGGAAATCAAAACCAGGACCCCTTGCTCAGAGGTAACAAGCAGTTCAAGAAGAAAGGAGAAAATTGTCTTCTGCCAATTTTCAGCTACAACTGTATTTCCTGGGAATTGCATTAATTCCAGCTCCTTATTGTTTCCCAGCCTGAAGCCAGGTCCCCCTGGGAGACACGTCTGAAGTTGAAACTAACCCATGAGGGTAGAAAAACCTCTTGTTGTTCATTTTTTTCCTTTTTTCCATGAGCTTGGCTCCTCAGGCACTCTTCATACAGCTCAATGGAAACCCCAGAGCTCAGGCCTGATATCATTCCTCCACCACCAGCTCCTAAAAATGGTTTTGAGCTGCTAAAAAACTGCCTGGTACCATTTAAGATAGGAGCCTATAGGTGCAAGGAGCAAGGGAAAGAGCCGAAACTCCCCATAAAAAAATTATTTTTTTCTTGACATTGTCCTCCCTTCTTCCATTTCCACCCAAACAAGCAGCACTAGGCACAAGATGAATGTCCCCTGTCTTGCCAGGTGGCCTCATTTGCAGTGAATTTAAACTGCAGCACTCATTGACTCCTCTGCAGAGCTAAAGAAACTTCAGGTGGAGCTGACTCTCAAATCCAGGTCACTTTTATTTAGAGACCTAAATATAGATTTTTGGTGTTATACAGTTAGATACTTGTGAGTGAACATTTTGGCCGGGTAAGTAAGTTGGTGTCCGAGCCTGATTCAATGGTCTTAGAGAAATGGAACATTTCTATACCATACACATGACACCTCATCTGAGAATAAAACAGATCCCTCTTCTTTATCCTGTCTCCCCATTACTTGCAATTCTCTCAGGCTGGCTTTTCTTCCCATACTTTCCTGAAGTGTAGCTTGGAATTTACACTGAGCTTTATCCCACTTGGATGAATACCTGTGCATTTCTCACTCATGGGAAGATTTCCTCAGATCTGGGCAGTGCATCAGTCTGCAGCAGAGTATGTAGAGCTCCTAACCCCACAAGCAATTCTTAGAACAGTCCAAATTTCTCAGCCAATCTGTGCTCCAATAACTTGAGAATGCCCTAGATATTGGTGGTGGTATTTGAAAAAAAACTGCAATGATCAACTTTTGATTAAACAGTTTTTCAAGAGGTTTATATAAACTCTGTCCCTTCCTCAAGTCGTGGTTAGCAATTTCAGCAAATGTATTACAAACACATATTAAGCTCAAATACCAAAAATGTTTGTGCTTCCATGAAGCAATACTGCACAGACAGCTAAATTAGAAAGTGCCCAAGGGACACTGCATTGGAATAAAGTTTGCAGAGAGATTGTCAAGGGGATCATCTGATGGAATTTTTTTTTAGATGGCTTCTACTGAATACTCTGTGGCTCAGAGAGATATTTTCACTGTCTAATTTATGAACACTAAAGATGAGTCATGTCTGGCAGAGATGTAGTAGGCAGAGGAGGGATAAATTCCACCAAGACAGACAGAAATCAAACCAACTTCCTTGGAGTTTTAATGAGGGTTACAAGAATCCCAGGCAGACCTTTCCAGAATCCAGCTAAGGCAGCAGGCTGCTCAAGTCTGCAGTTTGGGGTGCTTACTCTTTGCATAAACACTTCAAAGCAAAGCTCATTAAAGTTAGTGGGGAAGGCTCAGCAAACAGCCTGGGCTTGAAATAAACCCAAACTCTTTCAAAGGTATCAATCCAGCTCCCCTCTGAAGAGTTTCCTTCATTTGGAGGCTTAGAGCAATAACAAGGAGCTGCAGATGTACATCTAAATGAGAAATACAAATATAGTTTGGGGCAAAAAATGAAATATTATCTTCTTGGACTTTTGCTTTACTATTTGATACAACTAAGAAAAATTTCAGTTTAAAGTTTCTTATCTCCCATGCCAGACCAAAGCTGGATGTTCAGAGTTAAGTTATAATCATCTTTGATGTTGTTTACTACGTGGTTTGACAAACATCAAACCCAGTTAGACACTAAATCTTAATTAGGACAGACCTCCCAAAAGCTGTAGCATCAGCACTTGCACAGCAGCAGTGAAAAGAGAGCAGCAAAACCACCACACTCGCTAGAAAGGAGAGGAAAAAAATGACACCTAAAACTTCAACCAGACAAAATTTTAAAAAGTTTCACAAAGCTGGTTTTGTGCCCAGCCTAATTTTGACAGCAAAATAAAACTTGCCCCAGCACTGTGATTCTTGGGACAGCATAACTATCTCTATTAAGTGTAGTTAGATCTTAAACCAAGAAAACACATTAATACCCAAAGAAGTACATTGCTACTCATGGTGTACCTTCAAAGACAGGAGTGGAATACCAAAGAGCATCAGACAAGAAAATCACCTAGGCCTTAATAGGAATGTAGCACTACTCAGCTATGTAAATATGTTAGAAAATTCTCTGGTTCTGATCAGTGTTGTGAAAAAATATTTAGGTTTTCTGCAGGTGTGCAGCATTCCACAGCTCCAGCAACAGAAGGAAAGTCAGACTGAAACTCGTAGAAATTTATTTTCTGTTTAAAACCATTTTCAACAGCATCATGTCATTTTTTCTCTTCCTAAATCTTCCCAATTCTTTACCACTTTTTGCAGTGTTTCGAGGTGTTTTCAAAGATTTTTTTTTTAACATTTTCTTCATTGGGTTATATAAGATGAAAAAAAAACCTTACGGCATTTCAAATTCAACATTTCAGTTATTTTCAGCCTTATAAAAATTCTACCTCTCATTATTTGCTCAGCTTAATTGTGCTTTAGAATCAGTTTTTCTTCTCACAGAATATGTTCTTAACATCTCCCCTCCTCATTGCTTATTTCACCAGTGCTGTGCCACATTGGTTTCCCTTTAAACCTCTTCCCATCAAATCTCCAACTATGGACAGCAGCAAAACGTCTGGTTTTGCTACTCTCCATAGAGAAAGACAAGGTAACCAGTAGTAAAACCAGCCTGCTTTAGGGTGCCTGTTTTGTTTGTTTGTTTTTTGGAAGGTGAGTTTGGTGTGGAAGCTTTGGTATTTTCCAAGGCTCCCATCATCTGCTATCACGAGCAAACACGGAGCAGGAGGTGGAGAGAGCAAATGGGATGAACAGAGCAAATCCCTGCTTTGCTTCCAAATGTAACCCATGAAAATTCAGAATTAAAGGCAAATTGTGACAAAGTCCCCAAAACTTAAATGCATTCAGCAGCACCAAAAAAAAAAAAAAAAAAAAAAAAAAAAAAAAAAAAGCAGGTTTCTCATAGGAAAAGTTAGAGAGTCCCATTGGTGTTGAAGTTTTCTAGTTTTCTGGTGGATTTTCCACATCCAAATGTCAGGCTCAAAACCCAGTGGATTCTCTGACTACTGCCCTTCATTCAGTGTCCCGGGAAGAGCCTGACATGTTTAATGCTTTTACAAACTGTTCTGTTTATCACCTCTTGAGCATCCACAAGGTCTCCCACTATCTGTTTGATAGCTCCTCTCCTTTCCTCCCCTGCTCCACAGGCTATAAACAACAGCCATAAACATTTAACAGCCAAGATAAGCTAATAAATACAGCCCTAAATATTATTGCCTCTACAAACAACAGCGAGAGAGTAATTTCTCCTTAAAAAAAACCACCTCTTTAAACAAGAGAGCTTTTTATTAAGCCAGCAAGCGACAGCACAAAAGGCACCTCAGTCGAGCACTACAGCAAAAATCAGTGCATGGGGCTTTGAGGAGAAGCAGCAACACCCACAGGCCTGGTTGAGCAGTCAGTGACTTGGATATTTCATTTATTTGCCAACGTGATACACCTTTTTCCATTACCTGTTAACCTTGAAAAGCTTTTGGATAACCCAGAATCCTGGCACCCCTTTCCTTTCTCTCCTTGTTACACAGGAATTTGCCTGGGCTGACTCTTCCTTTCCCCCTCCTCTCCCAGGGTGTTTTTACTCCATCTCCCACTGACTCCTTTCCATAGTTCCACCATAAAAATGGGCACAAGTCTTTTTTTCCCCTATTTTTATATACATAAGCCTCCCTACTCTAGATTTACACCTGCCTCTCCACACAGGATCTAGAGTCAGGCATACCCTGCACAACATTCATCCCACAAACCCACCAAAGCATCACGTATTTGCAACTGACAGATCAGGTTAAAAATGGAAAAGCAGCAGAAAAAGGAACAAGTTAAACACTTCAGGCTTCTCTTCCTGCTTCAATCAAACACCCCTAAGAAGCTTTAACCAGAGGTGAAACGTGGCAGATGAATTTCAGGAAGATTAGCTTTTTTTTTTTCACGAATTTGGTTGTCGAGAGCGAAACCAGACCTGTGATTGAAAGGTAACTTTGAACTCCCCTCAGCAGAAGCTACAGGCAGCCCATAATAATGTACATTATCATTCTAACTCCCTGGGAAGTGGCATGGGACGCTTTTAATTCTGAGGGCCACTTAAAGGCATTTCTATTTTTAAATTTTCACCGTGACTAAAGGGCTCTTGCTCATTTCCATCCTGTTAGATCTGCATTCTCCACGTCCTGCATGTGCCACACTTGGAAGATTTTGTTCTTGTTCCCTGCTCTCTCTCATCAGAGACAGAGGAGAATCACACATTATTGCTTTGGAATATTAAAAGTAAATGCAGAGAGGGGTTAATTTATACCTTCCACAAGAGATTTGGGAATGTTATTATGGAGCATCATGAGTGTTGGTAATGTTTTTCTTTTTATTTGCTTTGTTTCTCTGAGCATAGTTAGAGAAAGAATAAAAAATAACCTTGGGCATTGTAGGAGATGTGCTGCAATCCTAAAGTAATTCACAGTGCAGTTCTGCTGAGGGCCCTGTGAGCTGAGCATCTCAGCACATTTTGGGGACATGAAAAAGCAGGCAGGCAACCTCCCAGTAAAAAATGTCAATATTTGTGGAGCTGCAATCACCAGCGTGCAGCCCACAGGGTCAGACATGTCCCTCTCCAACC